CTCAGGCTGTTGCTCCATATTGCCGCTAGTCTCTTCTGTTGACTTCTCTTGTTTCTCGCCATCTGACTTGGCAGCTGTCAAAATCTTGGGCGACGCGGGTGGGGGAGTCTTAGCCGTTTCCTTGTCCTTCAAATACTCTTGAATCTTCTTGGATGTTTCTTCATCTGGTTGAAGGTCATCAATCAATACGCCTTCTGACTGGCAAGCAGGGCAGACGAAGTCGCTTTCAATGAGAGCATTAGTTATGCAATCATTACAAAAGGTCTTCTGGCAGCATGGAGTCTTCATTGGCTCTATGAACATCTTCTTGTCAATTGAACACTCCAAGCCCTGTTCCTGAATCTCCTTGTTCTCAGCTAGTGGTGCGTTAGCTGTAGATGAAGACTTGGCCTTGGCCTGGAACTGCTCCCACGAAGCCTTATCGGGCTCAGCAATAACAAAATCCCCCTCGGCATTGACCATGATACCTGATGGACGCTTGGATTCATCGCCCTCAGTTTGCGCAAGGACAACAGACTTGTCTACCTTTTGCAGGAATGAACGTGGGATACCTGTGGTTCGCTTGACACGCGGGCGGTTGTCAAATTCGGGGTCGTCATTAGTAGGGCACAGTTGAATCCAATGACCTTTGTTACCGCACCGGTAGCAAATGTACCCGTTCGGGGGGTCATGGTCGGGGACGTTTGCTGGTCTCTTCGCACCAGCTTTGAACACGGGTGTTTGACTGGCAAATCGTTAGTTTCTGTGTAACATTGCATGGGCTTCTGGAACTTACTGAGACATTTCCTCTTGTTGAGCAGACCACTGTTCGGTTTGTGCTGCAAACATGGCAGCCATCTTCTCCTCTTCAGTCATAGCATTGTTCATCTGGCTGATGGCATCAGAGCTGGGTTTGGAAGATGAGGCCTTCGCCGCTTGCTCCTTGCGACCAGCGTTTTTGGCTGACACAGGCATCTTTCCAGACACATAACGAGCTGCGCGCCCTGCACCTGGCTTGAGAGCAGGTTGGCGTCGGGCAATGACAGTCGTTGACCTTGGAATGATAGTCGTATCATCGTCGTATTCTACCAAATCGTTAGCGATGTTATTGCCTGATGTAGATTGAATCAACCCACCTTCGCTGTTATCATCGGTATAAATATGCAGGTCAAAATCGGTACCATCTCCTAGGCCACTCTTTGTGATAATCTCACGCTTCAACTCAAATACTGAGATACCGGTGCCATCAAACTCGACTCGGGTAGGCTCCTTTTGAGATTTGAATTTGAAGAAGACGGAGGACGTCATTTTGGCTGATACGTGCTGGGTGTTTCCTACAGGAACAGATGGAGCACAGTACAAGTGATAACAAAAGTTTGTTGAGATTCAATATCGCAAGTCGAAAAAAATCCCAAAGTCAGGTCGGGGCCGGTCGCACAAAGCACTATGTAAGTATTGATTGTTCTTGCGTTTGCAAACAATGAAAGTCTTTGTTTTCTTCTCTGTTGGTTTTCTTTCTCGCACTGCCGTGCTCTTTCAACTCAAGGTGAATGGAAATAATCAATTTTGATTGTACTTTGAGGGAACAATAGTGGCAATAGGGTCAAAAAAAGAAATGGGTGCAATGAATAAGGAGTACAGCTGGCCAAAACAAGCCAGAAGAGAGACAACCCTGAAACTCCACCTCACTTTCCAGTCACCACGTTTGTCAAAACCAATGAACCAGCGACCTTTATGTTAGCCAGGCGTCCCAAGATCACGCCCTCGAAGAGCAGACCAGTAATACGTTATACGCGAGGATCTTGAGCGAAAGGGGGGAGCGGATAGTCGGCGGTCGCGTGAGAACAAGCGGATCGTGCCGCTGAGTTGCGTATCGTAGGTTGCGCGAAGACGAAAAAAAGCCAACTGTGAAACCTCCGAAATAGAAAAAAGTCGATAGAGCGCGATCAAAAGACTACGTTTGATGTCTTATGTCGCTGTATCGATGGCGAGGAAGAACGTCGACGATGGATGGATGAGTGACAGGGAGAGTGGGGAGAGGAAGACTCTTCGTCAACAGGTCATAAGAATGGTAAGCGGCCAACTACCCCCTTCGGCATCTGACTAATCGTGGCACTAAGATTGCTGCGGGGGGCGCATTTAGGTTAATCCGGTCAGCCCCATTGTAGGTCATGTCCACACCAAGCACAAGTTTGCCCAAGACGTTGGAACCAAATTTCTCTCTGTTCTAACTGACTAATCATTCCGCACCTGTTTTACCATTGGTTGCCGTAACTAGCCGTTCCCTCCACTGGTTGGAAATTCCGACTGCACTCGAGCGCCTGTCAAAAGTGCCCCGCCATCATTGCCCGCTCGATCAAGCAGGTCCTGGCAAGTCTGCCCGTGTAATGCCCCGCACCGTACGCCTCGATAGGGCAGCTGTTTGCTGTACTCGACTGGTAACAGCACCACCCAAAAGGCCCTTTATCTCATTACGAGTACCCGTCCCGCAAACTTTTCCTCAGAAACTCTGGCTTTCTTCTCGTACCTATCTCACAGTCTCTATTCGTTCACACCAAGCAAAGAAGATGGCCCCCCAGCTCGACGGTTTCTTCAAGCAAGTCGATAGCTCGGCTGACCACTTCATCGAGCGCCTGCGCAAGGCTGTCGCCATTCCGTCTATCTCAGCCGAGGATGCCCGTCGCCCTGATGTTGTTCGCATGGGAGAGTGGCTCGGCGAGGAGTTGAAAGCTCTTGGAGCCTCTGTAGAGCTTCGGCCTCTTGGGAAGCAGCCTCATAAGGAATACCTCGACTTACCTCCCGTTGTCCTTGCACGATACGGAAATGACAAGAATAAGCGTACCATCCTCGTCTATGGGCATTACGACGTCCAGCCTGCGGAAAAGAGCGATGGATGGGCTACTGAGCCATTTGACCTTACTGTCGACGAAAAGGGACGTATGTTTGGCCGTGGAGCTACAGACGACAAGGGTCCAGTTTTAGGCTGGTTGAATGCTATTGAGGCTCACCAAAAAGCTGGCGTCGACTTTCCCGTCAACCTGCTGATGTGTTTCGAGGGTATGGAGGAATACGGTTCTGAAGGCCTCGATGACCTCATCAAGGAAGAGGCCAAGAAGTACTTTGCTGACGCCGAGGCTGTCTGCATATCCGATAACTACTGGCTCGGTACCGAGAAGCCATGCTTGACTTATGGTCTTCGTGGTTGTAACTACTACTCAGTTGAGATCTCCGGCCCTGGCGCCGATCTTCACAGTGGTGTCTTTGGCGGTACCGCCCAGGAGCCCATGACCGACCTCGTTAGAGTCCTAGGATCTCTCGTCAACACTGGTGGCGAGATTCAGATTCCCGGTATCAAGGAGCAGGTTGCACCTGTCACGGCGGATGAGGAGGGTCTCTATGATGGAATTTCATTCACCATGGACAATATTCATGAGTCCTTGGGTAGCAAGACCACCATTTTCGATGATAAGAAGCGTACTCTGATGGGTCGCTGGAGATACCCATCTCTATCTATCCATGGCGTTGAGGGTGCCTTCTCTGCTCCTGGAGCCAAGACTGTTATTCCTGCCAAGGTTATTGGAAAGTTCTCTATCCGAACTGTTCCCGACATGGACATTGACAAGACCAACGAGGCTGTGTACAAGTATGTTGAAGAGCAGTTTGCCAAGCTTGGCAGCAAGAACACCCTTAAGGTGTATGCTCAGCATACTGGTAAGTGGTGGGTTGCATCACCAAAACACTGGAACTTCTCGGCTGCTGCCAAAGCTGTCGAACGTGTGTGGGGTGTTGAGCCCGATTATACTCGCGAAGGTGGAAGGCAAGTTACCCTGACCCAAATATCCGGTATCTCACCACTAACATAGTAATCAGCATCCCTGTTACCCTAACATTTGAGGAGGCCACTGGCAAGAATGTTCTTTTGCTCCCCATGGGTAGCTCGACAGACGGCGCTCACTCTATCAACGAGAAGCTCGATAAGCGTAACTACATTGAGGGTATTAAGCTGCTTGGTGCTTATCTACACTATGTTGCTGAGGAGCCTCAGTCTTAACTTATCCATACTAATTTAAGATATCTAACGTTCTATGATATGACAATCGAAATTATGGATTCCTGTACGACGTATATTATTGACAGTGACACCAAATATTGCACTACAGGCCTTTGAGGGCCAATTTGTTGGATAACTGATGCCCTTGTTTGTATGTATTTGCTGTTTGCCCTAGATGCCCATATGCAGGAAGCCTCTCTTTCTGTAGCTAGCTTAGAAGAATCAAGCCTTTTCCTTTCACTAAGTCAATCTGCTCCAACGACTGTCCGCGCGTTGTAGAATCGATAACCGGCATCTGGTGTCATCATCTGCACGTTGATCTCGTGATAACCAGGCTGACCCGGAGGCCAGTGAACAATAATAAGAGAGTATGTATGTATGGAGGGAGGTCGCTTGCTTGGCACGGATCCATGCTAGCATGGAAGCTCCCAGGTCTGGTTGGGAGCCCCCTCCTTTTGGCCTTTGGCCTTGCATTGTCCCGCCCGCCGCAACCGCCGCCCAACGGAGACTTGTTTTTGCCCCTCTTTCATCACTGGTTGTGAGTCTGGTGATCGCTGCCCGGCTGAGTCGGGGAGAGTGACCAAATAAATGACTGCCTACACCTTAGGTACTAAATATTAAACTTCTCCCCTCCCTGGATTATCTTTGAAACTCCCTTCTGGAAACCCCGTCGTTTGTGAACTCGGGCACGACACCGCAGCGCCATTTCGCCATCTTCTCTCCAACGTTTCTTGTCTCGAATGCCATCTTCGACGGAACCAAAACTTACCAGGTCACATCTGGAAGCCCAGGACTTTACGCCACTTGTGGAGCTCTGGGCGCCTTCAGTGGAACAGCTCCCCACACCTTATCGGTCGGGTCCCCTAGCCTTCGATAGAAAGTTCCAAAAAGTCGAGAGGGCATTTCCATCTCTCCCAGGACGTTACACTCAGAAACTCCAAAAGAGGCGTCAGACTTGACCATTGCCGAGATGGTTCGCGAGAGTGGCATCTCGGCTACCAAGCCAGTTTTCCCTACTTTCTTACTGCCCAGCATAAAGCTTCCCTTCTCCCGACGCCACTCGGTCTCCTCGAGTTCAGCAGAATCTGCCGCATCTTCAGCGGTGACAACACCAGCGAGCTCGCCCCCGAACGAAGGAATTCTTACAAAAGCGCCTAGAGGTCGATTATCTCGTACATCTCCGAATACGCTTCGTTGTTCAACATGCTCTGTCGATGTTGCTTTTGCTTCTCAGATCATATCTAAAGGCTTCACCGGCCGGTACGGTCGTGCGTTTCTCGTGGCCCCGCCTGCGCCTCCTGCAGCCCAGACATTGAGCAACATCCGAGTTGGTAAGAGTGAGAATCGTCAGCTTGTGACAGGATGGCATGTCGTTGCAGACATCAACTGCGGGTCATGCTCAACAAAACTTGGCTGGAAGTATGTGGACGCTAAAGAACAAGGCCAGAAGTACAAAGTTGGGAAATTCATCCTCGAGATGGAACGAGTGGTTACGTACCGGAGCTGGGAGGATGCAATTGACGAGGATGTTGCGGAGACTGCCACACCCGGCAAGGATGATGAGGAAGAGGATGTTGAATTTGATTCTGATGACGATGATGAATGTGAAGATATATTTGCAGGGACTTGGGACCCTGAGGTTGTAGAAGAGAGGCGAAGGAGAACGACGTCACGTCGAAGCCAAGCCGAGAGCGACGAGTAGTTATCGTCGCTGCGGTATTGCCTCGAGATCATGAACTGGGCTTGAGTTATGCATTGGATAGGCGTCAAAGGATGAATATTGGGCTGCGATAGCGGGATTGGATAAATACTCTGAAGAGATGGACGGGCAGAAACACAAGAGCGCCAACCCACGAAGGGGTTGACCTCACAGTATTTTAGAGATTGTTTCAAATAGAGCCTGCGTTTCACTTGATCAAGAAACGACTGTCATTGGGGCGTACAAGGCTTTTTTAGAACTGGCGTCTGGACCACTGTGTGATTGAGATTTGGTATGATGATGCTAGGGCAACTGATATGCCTCATCATTAAACGCCAAAAATTATCTTCAATTTTAAGTGTTTATACTTAGAAGCTTATAACGAGGTGCTTTAGCACAATATAATGCAGTATGTGTATATGTAATTTTCTTTTTATTTTTTTTTATTAATTTTTTTAAAGGCAGCCAGCCGATAGATGCTGTGGATTGATAGGGGATCATGGCATATCAGCATAGTCCTGTGGGCACTTGGGGAAGCATATGAAACCTAGATACTATACCCAAGGCAAGGAGGGTACAAGATAAAGTCACATAATTCCAGCCCACTGGGCTCTTTACCTTCATCGGCAAGGTAGTCGACGGCAACATCATATCAAAGTCCAGCTTGACCTCAACTCCAGCAGTGTCCCATAATTGATTGACATTACACGACCCCACACAACAGACGGAAAAGCTTCCAGCGTATCGGCAATCGTAAACCAAGGGTCTGGTGTTATGGAGACGTTAAAGCATATTTGGAAGAAGCGTGAATGGTGCACAAGGGACGTTAAACGAACAACTCACTAAAGGTGCCTTACCTTGCTACTACCAGTATGTACCTATGTGGTTTGTTTGCAGAGATCCCAGCCCCTAGCCCCCGTCGTTGCTGGTGTAAGTCAACGGCATCCCGCGCGTGGGGCTCGTCCCTCTGAGTGGAGCACCCCTGTTGGTTGTGCAATGGACATCATCACAGTGGACAACCATGGCTAGCATCCATGGCTGCATGGCAAGCATGGGCACGATAAAAAAAGCATCGAAGCCGATGGAGGGGTCGGGTGTGAGGGGCAGGAATTTCTAAACTGAGACGAGCCGCAAACCAAGGGACCGCTCTGCCGCTGCACATCCAGATCCAGGCACGCACCTCCAGGCACCTCACTTCAGGTGCATACATACAGCCATAGTCATTTGCATTGGATTGGATCCAATCCATCCATCTCTCACCGAGTACCGTACAGTAATTCTGCATAGGTAGATCTCGCATTCAATTGCTTGAGGTGTGCTACCCCCACGCTCCTTCACACCGCTCTATCATTCCTTATTGGACTTTTCTTCTCTCCTACCTTACCTTGGGCGAGGTCAGAGAGGCTCGGTGAGCGAGATCGGCGTAAACCTTTGATCATAGTTGTTGCTGTTTTGTCCTTCTTGTTCATCTCCACTGTCTTCCATTTCTCGCCCACCAAAGGAAAAAAAACAGAGTGGGAGGCTAAGAGAACCACTTCGTCAGTTGTCACTGTCGTCACCCCAGAACTACAGGCTCCATTCCTCCACCTAAGCTCTCTCCTCTCTCTGCTTCCGCCACTTTTCTTTCTCGCTCCTCTCCACTTCTACCTTGTTCTCGTCTCCTCTCTCTTATAAGGGCCCCCATATTCTGCCGTCATACTCGTTCTCATCCCTACGAATCCTTTACAACCTTACCTACTCACCTTCCATCGTTCTTATACCTACCTCTTCGTGGCCTGTCCTACGTTGCGTCTCTGGTCCATCTCACTCATCCTCGTTCTATCCCGCTATCACCAATCGAAGCAATTGGACATAGTCACAACTTTACCAGCTCATCTAAGTACTCACTCAGTTTACTAAACTTTAGCTCTATCATCACAACCCCGCTTTGCCTCCTGACAATAATTTGGTAGCTCAACCACCATGGCCGCGCCCTCCGGTCACCAAGCTCGCGGTTCTGATGACCTGGGCGTCTTCGACGATGCCAAAAGCTACTATACTGAGGAACGACATATGAACCGTGCGGGACCCCGAACTCGCACCTACTCCCAGGTGAGCATCTGCCCACCCTCGTGTTATGACGTAGACTGACTTTTTTTGGCAACCAGAACAGTTTGATGCACCGTTTTGAAAGAGTCAATCTCCGAGAGCCTTTTCGACGCGGCAGCCATGGTTAGAAACATCAATTTCGTATAGCCGAGTATTTCTACTAACTCTATCTTCGATAGATGAGAATTCGCAACAGAACCGCCGCTTCTTGATCCAAGTCGATTCAACATTGGAAAGTCTTTCATTGCAAGAGGACACTGATGGAGACATGCAAATTACGATCGAAGATAATGGTCCCAAGGTCATTTCTCTGCGTACCGCCGCTTCGGCTGGCCATAATCGTTTCGACGTCCGCGGAACGTATATGTTGAGTAACCTCCTGCAAGAGTTGACCTTGGCAAAAGAGTACGGGCGGAAACAGATTGTTCTGGACGAGGCTCGTCTCAACGAAAACCCCGTCGATCGCCTGTCCCGCATGATTCGTGATCATTTCTGGGAGAACTTGACAAGACGCATTGATGCATCAACCGTGGATATCGCCGCCCGAGACCCCAAGGATTGGACAGCCGATCCCCGCCCTCGCATTTATATCCCGTATCGATGCCCCAGACAATACGAGTTCTACAAGAGAGTTGCTGAAGAGAGGCCAGAAATGCGTCTGGACGTTCAGATGCTACCTGAGAAGATTACCCCTGATTTGGTTCGCGACATGAACGATGCACCTGGCCTTCTGGCTGTGGATGTTCAAGAAGTTCCAGAACCAGAACACCCTTCAGGATGGACTCTCAAGGGCATGCCTTTCGTTGTCCCAGGTGGCCGTTTCAACGAGCTTTACGGCTGGGACAGTTATATGGCATCTCTAGGTCTTCTTATCAACGATCGCGTCGACCTAGCCAAGTCGATGGTCATCAATTTCTGCTTCTGCATTGAGCACTACGGAAAGATACTGAACGCTACTCGATCCTACTACCTTTGTCGGTCGCAGCCTCCTTTCTTGACTGACATGGCCCTTCGTGTTTATGAAAAGATCAAGCATGAGCCCGATGCCAACGAATTCCTCCGACGATCTATTCTAGCCGCCATCAAGGAGTATCATAGTGTCTGGATGTCAGAGCCTCGACTAGACCCCAGCACAGGTCTCTCGAGATACCGACCCGAAGGTCGTGGAGTGCCTCCTGAGACGGAGGCCACTCATTTTGTGCATATTCTTGACCCTTATATCAAGAAGCACAAAATGACATTCGAACAATTCGTTCGAGCATACAACCACGGCGAAGTCGAGGAGCCTGAGCTCGATGAATACTTCATGCACGACCGTGCCGTGAGAGAGTCGGGTCATGACACATCCTACCGCCTTGAGGGTGTTTGCGCAAACCTGGCGACCATTGATCTCAACTCTCTCCTGTTCAAGTATGAGACTGACATTGCACGAACTATTCGCAGCGTTTTCAATGACAGGCTTACGATACCTGAGGAGTTTTGCGCCGGTACACCCTACCAGCCTGGTGAGGTTCTGTCGTCAGCTGCTTGGGACCGACGAGCCAAGCGGCGCAAGCTCACAGTGGACAAGCTGATGTGGGACGAGAAGGAGGGCATGTTCTTTGACTACGATACCGCAAAGCGCCAACGCTGCACGTATGAGTCGTGCACAACTCTCTGGGCTTTGTGGGCAGGCATTGCAACTCCCAAGCAAGCGGCTGAAATGGTTCGCAAAGCTCTCCCCAAGTTCGAGGCTTACGGCGGCCTGGTATCAGGAACGGAGGAATCGCGGGGAGCGGTCGGCCTCGAACGGCCTAACAGACAATGGGATTACCCCTACGGCTGGCCGCCACAGCAAATGCTGGCCTGGACGGGTCTGATTCGTTATAGCTTCACGGAGGAAGCAGAGCGAATTGCCTACAAGTGGCTCTTCATGGTGACCAAGGCTTTTGTCGATTTCCACGGTGTCGTGGTCGAGAAGTACGATGTCACCCGGCCGGTCGATCCTCACCGAGTTGATGCGGAATACGGTAATCAGGGTCTTGGCTTCCGAGGCGTCAACAAGGAAGGGTATGTTGAACATCCACTTACTAAACTCAGACACGGTTTACTGACGTTGGCTTAGATTCGCATGGGTTAACGCCAGTTATATTTACGGGCTTCAAATCATCAACGCGCACATGCGCAGGGCACTTGGAGCACTGACGCCGTATCAGACATTGATCAGGGCGATTGAGAAGAATGAGGAGAAGACGCTGGCTGGTCTGCTTGCTACATAGGGCAATGCTTTTGTAGACTAGGAAGCTCTTGGCAAAAGGAGAACGTTGTAGCTATCAATATCCATAGGATACCCTAAGAATGTTACAGTACCTGTCTGCTTTGCTGGTTCCTGGGGTGAAAACTGTCGAAGGGAGAACAATGCATGTTGGGCACAAAAACTCAAGAATGATGCGAAAGCCTGAACCTTTTCTCGTATGATCAGCAACATGATAAATAACCATCTATGGACGGACGGCCTGATACAAAAATATAGCAATGACGAAGTGACCAAGAGGTCGGAAAAAGGATAAAGCCGTTGACCTCGGGTAGGAGCCGAAGCGGTTGATGGGGGCATGTGAGGTGTCAGACTGTCACAGTGGTGATGGATGTTTTCCATGATAAGTCTCGGCAAGAAAATGACCGAGGTAACTAAGCTAAGGTGATTATCCTGAGCTATAGAGCTGGCAGTGGATATTGAAATCCATTGATCGATATGAGCGATGAGTTTGAAGGGGCCGTCATGAGGACATTGATTGCCGAGCTCAGTGATGGATGGACCTTTCAGTGTTGGAGGGGCACGGCTTCACATGCCAGAAACCTCCGCTGCTCCGGAGCTGGAGACGGACCTAGGATTCGGCCAAGTTCCGTCCTTCCGGGCCCAGGCGGGTATCCGCTGACGGAGGAAGGCCGAGAACTCACAGTCAGAAACTGATTGATTACCTAGAAGAGTATGCTGGCTGGGTTATTTGTGTCAGAATGTAGCTTCCATTGACTTTATCATTTTCTTTTTCTTTTCTTTGCCTTTCTGTTCGTATTTTCTAATGCTGAAGGCATATTACTTACTCCTTGTGGTTAGGTATCTTGCAGAGTATACACACGTCAGGATGGGACAAGAGAAGAGTGATGCTGCAAAATGCGGTCATTTGAAACTTGGCGATTAAGGTTTAGTGGGATAAGAGCAAAACCCCAGGTGAGCCAAGGTGAGGAGGAATAAGTAACTTCCCCAGATTTTACTGTGAGTGATGCTTTTGCAAGGATGGGGTTAGTTAGAGAGAGACCAAGTCCCGCGTCTTGAATTTGGGGCCCATCCATATGCCACGAGTTGTTGCCGGCCAGATGAGCAATGTTAGCGGCGATACATATTCTCTACCTACCTACCTATCTGTACATAATTAAAGTCGTAAACTGCATGCCTACTAGGTGATGTAGCGAAGAGACGACAGGTACAGACAGGCCGTAACTTACGGCTTTCGGCTTTCGGCCTCCTTGACCTGTGTGAGGGATCCCGGATGCTGAATGTCGAGCCTTTGAGCCGAACATGAAGTACTGTACGCAAATTTTCTTAAGGATACGGAAAAATAGTAAAGACGTCATTATACCAAGGCCGGGTCGGGTATGTACATACCTACATACAGAACTGTGCTGGGTTCTGCAGGGCCGCATGCACTCCCATGCATGGCCTGGCCAGTCGCCAGTTTACCAGTTACCCATCACGATCACACTGCAAGTCTTGATTTGACGGGCTTCAATTTCCGTTTACAGAACAAAACGCACCTCTAGAATCGATGCTTCTTTTGGCTGTTGTAACTTGTAGGTCACCTTTTGAGGCGTTCGGTGACTGTCCGGAGGTACGTACTCTCTGACCTCCACTACCAGCACTCTCGCCTTTTACTGGGGGCTCGATTGCGGCTCGTGACGGCAGATAGGAGAGGCTGATCTGACACAAGCATCGATTAGGTAGACTAACTATGGCCGAGGTGAAAACGTGCCTGGCTTGTGCTCGGTGGAAAGCCGAGCTAGAGTAGAAATGCAATTGCAGACGTTTAGAAATGGTCTTGATTTCAGAGCCCTAGCCTGATTAATGAGAGAGAGAGGCAGAGAGAGACGTTCTCAAGTCATGACGATAAGTTTGACATGGTCAATAGGAACTGATGCAATGTTTCTCTATCGATTTGAAGAGCCCATTCAAGACTCAACATATCTTTGCTGGATAGAAGGAATAGTACCTACTGTACCTACCCAAGTAGAATAGAATGACCCTCGTGACTCAAAAAATGAAAGACCGAAGCGCAGTTCTTTCTCTCCAACCTAACGCCTCATCAACAGCGGGTCCGCCAAGTTCTGGGCCCCCTTCGCTAGGAGTAACTCTCACTCCCCTAGCTTCGTTCATCAATCATCATCACCTACCAATTGCATCAAAGATTTGACTCCAAGTTGCTACATCGACACCCGTGTGCTAAACCATTTCTCCACCAAAAAGTCCAGAAACGCTTGCTGCCGGGTGCGGAGAGACAGCGAGACAATGACCATGGGGCATATCCCATATCCCATCCATCCATGGGGAACGGGTCTTTGGAATATCGGGGGACGGGAGGCCCAACAGTGAGTGACTCAAGAGTAAGGTATCTCTAATTCCCGGTCGAAAAGATACTTATTATATGGTCTGCCCTCTTCCTCCCCCTTCTTCCAATTCCTCAATCTACTCATCATTGTTCTCGTCTTTCCAACTTCACTCTACTACTTAGTACCGTGCCATCTAGTTACCTACTTCCTGAGACCTCCCATTGTTTAGCACTCTCCCCCAAAAGGTTTCATACCTCTCACTCACACATCGATCACAATGGCGTCACAAAATATGGCAAACCCTTCTGTCAACCCTGATATCGAAGACGAGCTCTTCCAGAAGGAGGTTGAGGCTGTCAAGGCTTGGTGGTCCGACTCAAGATGGCGACACACAAAGCGCCCTTTCACTGCTGAGCAGATTGTCTCCAAACGCGGATATCTCCCTGTCGATTATGCCAGTAATGCCCAGGCGAAGAAGCTGTGGAAGATCCTTGAGCACCGTTTCGAGGTGAGTCTCTCCAATGATGAAGACATGTTACATCATAAAGCGAGATACTGACGATTTCCCTCGCAGACTCGAGATGCCAGCTACACCTACGGCTGCTTAGAACCTACAATGGTCACTCAGATGGCCAAGTACCTCGACACCGTCTATGTTTCTGGCTGGCAATCGTCATCGACTGCCTCTGCCTCTGATGAACCTGGTCCCGATCTGGCTGACTATCCCTACGTGAGTTTGGACGATACGAAGCATGTCTATATAAGCATTGTCTAACACAGACTTAGACCACTGTTCCCAACAAGGTCGGCCATCTCTTCATGGCCCAACTTTTCCATGACCGCAAGCAGCGCCAAGAGCGCCTCAGCGTCCCCAAGGCGCAACGCGCCAACCTCTTGAACATTGACTATCTTCGCCCCATTGTTGCTGACGCTGATACTGGTCATGGTGGTCTCACCGCTGTCATGAAGCTCACCAAGCTCTTCATTGAGAAGGGTGCAGCTGGAATTCACATTGAGGATCAAGCCCCCGGCACAAAGAAGTGCGGCCACATGGCAGGCAAGGTTCTTGTCCCCATTCAGGAGCACATCAACCGCCTTGTTGCTATTCGCGCACAGGCTGACATTATGGGTGGGTTTTGACTTCCCCAGACTTCCCCAATCATCACATGCTGCTGTCGCTGGTGGCAGTGGGACCAAAACTCCAAGAACACAACTGACATGTGAAAGGCTCCGATCTCCTCGCTATTGCGCGCACCGACGCCGAGGCCGCAACTCTACTCTCCACCAACATCGACCCCCGCGACCATGCCTTCATCCTCGGCTCTACAAACCCTACTCTCAAGCCCCTCAACGACCTCATGATCGCCGCTGAGGGTGCTGGCAAGAGTGGCGTTGAGCTGCAGCGCATTGAAGATGAGTGGCTTGCCAAGGCCAACCTCAGCCGCTTCGACGACGCTGTGACTGCTGCCATTGATGCAGGCTCTTCTACTGACAAGGCCAGCCTCAAGCGAGACTATCTTTCCAAAGCAAAAGGCAAGAGTAACCTCGAGGCGAGGGCCATCGCTCGCCAGGTCCTTGGCCATGACATCTTTTTCGACTGGGACGCCCCCCGTACTCGCGAGGGTTACTTCCGTCTCAAGGGTGGTTGCGACTGCGCTGTGAACCGAGCTATAGCTTATGCCCCTTATTGCGACGCTATTTGGATGGAGTCTAAGCTGCCCGACTATGCTCAGGCTAAGGAGTTTGCCGAAGGTGTCCACGCCGTCTGGCCCGAGAAGAAGTAAGTCTCTACCAACCTACTAAAGCTCCAGAATTTCACATTGACACTGACATAACCAGGCTCGCCTATAACCTTTCTCCATCATTCAATTGGAAAACTGCCATGCCTCGTGATGAGCAGGAAACTTACATCCGCCGTCTGGCTAAGCTTGGCTACTGCTGGCAGTTCATCACGCTTGCAGGCCTGCACACAACAGCCCTGATCAGCGACCAGTTCGCCAAGGCATATAGCACTGTTGGTATGCGCGCTTACGGCGAGCTCGTTCAAGAACCTGAAATGGAGCAAAAAGTCGATGTTGTTAAGCACCAGAAGTGGAGTGGCGCAACCTACGTTGATGAATTGCAAAAGATGGTTACAGGTGGCATCAGCTCCACGGCTGCTATGGGCGCCGGTGTGACTGAGGATCAGTTCAAATAAATCACCGCTGGTGAGGGTGATGCGGACAGCAATTGAGCACATGGATGAATAAAGATCAACATGGGTTGAGAAATGACCGGAGGTTGTTGTCGGGGCGCAAAAAAAGAAGAGCGGCAAGTTCTTTATCTTTGGGGCATTTTGATATCACATTACTGTTTTCCGATTTTAATCGCTATATTACCTTGCATACGGCAAGCATCTGCCTTGATATATACTACCAGTTATGAAGCAGCAAAACATCATGAAAAGAATTCAAGACCGTGATCACGCTATACACATTGATTATAAGCAACTATATGCACAGCATTACACATGTTTGCTTGTGTTTGGTTCATCTACAGTACATCCTGTTGTGCAGCATAGATATCCTGCGCCCTGACCAACAACTCAGTCGTAAATATGAAAAAGAAGAGAAAACATTGAATGCGGGAGGGCGGACTGGTTGGTCCAAAATCGTATCAGCATAATGTATCTATGTAGCCCAAACATAAAAGTCAAAACAATAACACGCTCGTTATCAAGCTGGAATGGAAAATTAGAAGCCGAGCAATGAGACTCATACTCTTGGTTGCCGTCTGATGTCCATAGTGTTACATCACCAACGTGTCCATTAGATTCGTTTCGTCTGGTACAGTAATGACTGCAAATCTGCTGGAACCCAGGCAGTAGATCACTTGCTATTTCATGAACCAATTCGAATGTGTGTATTCATATAACCGTCGGGCAGGGTAAGAAGCAGAGCTAGTGTGCTCGCAGCCAAACGTATCGTACCCATTGGTGTCAGTTTGGAATGTCAGTGCCCCTTTCAAAACGACGTTTCTCAATCAGCCTCGGCCAGTTGCATGATCAATTTGGCGGCCATGTCCAGGAAGGGAAAGGGACTGGTGACATCTTTTTCCTCGAGCAGTCGGCCATGGGCTGTCTCGTATCCAGAGCACTTGAAGTCGACCAAGTACACGCCATGTTCCATTTCGTAAATTTGTATGTCCATATGTAGCGCAACGAAAGGCTCTTTGGGGTGATGTTGGCCCTCTGGTGTGCTCGGCGAGCTGGGAGTGCCAGGAACGCTGGCCGCCTTCTTCTTGATGGCTGGGAGGATGTCAGTTCTGATAATTCAGGTACAAGAGATCTGGGAACCAACCAGAAGTATCCCAGCGCACATTGATGTGCCAAGGATCTGCGGGAAGATTGTAACGTTTCTTAGGATCGATACTTGAACTTGAGCCCCGGTTATTATCGTGAGAATCCGCAAAGCTACCTTCACCAGAAGCTTCAGCTCGCTCCTCTGCAGTTCTTGTTTCATAATCTTCATCGGGGATGTATGTCGCGCCCAATTTATGAAGTGCCTTGTGGATGCACAGAAGGGCTTCCCATGGCGAGTTACGTGATCGGATGCCAAACTGCCAACGAACTGGCTTATTCTTTTTAGGGGGGTTAATAGGGGTCATCCCTTGAGGCCTTGTGTTGGCTTCGTCCATACGCAATTGGCTTCTCGAATGGGGCCGTAAACGGCGCGCTGTCTCTTCCTTTTCAGCATCTGTCCTGTTGCTGGAGGGTTCATCGTTGATGAGCACTTTAGGTGGTGAGTTTTCGACGCTACCAGCCTTCTCCCGCTCCATATAGTCCTTGTGGTAAGCTGGTAAACTTGAAGGCAAGATACCGACCTTGCTCACGTATGGGCGAGGGGTGGTGGTAGCTTGAGAAGTCGTTGAGCGGGCAGAAGACATGCTTAGCATGGGGCTTGATCCCTCGGGCTCTGCTAGAAGGGCTTCAGGATTATCTAAATCAGTTTCAATACGTCGAGAGATTAGTGATGAAAAGAGAGAGGAACTCACGGTTCACTTGCATCATCTTGTTTTCCCTTACAATCATGTAGGCGTCCTTGATTGCCGACGGTTCGGCAGCCTGCAGTGCCTCCTCTACATCACTCTTACCATAACCCATAGTCTTACTGATCTTTTCAGTGACCTCATTATGCAATTTCTCTTGAACCTTTTCTGAAGCATTGGGTGCGATGTCGTTCTTCTTAATGGCTTTGTTTGGGTCAACACCAGTGTTGAAGAATTCTTCAACGGGAAGTTGAAGGTAAGCGGGCAGATCGGTGGTGAACCAGGGATCGGCTCGGATATCCTCAATTGTAGCACGGTGCACGGGGTTCACCACTAGCATCTTCTTGATGAGGTTTGCAGCGCCGGTAGGCATCCATTGCGGTATGCTGTACGTGCCCTTTGCAATCTTGGCAAACAAACTGGGAATGTGTTCATCGTCGAAGGGAAGTCGACCAACCAAAAGAACATAAAGAATAACACCGCAGCTCCACACATCGACTTCGGGACCAGCATACAACTTGCCACCAATGACTTCAGGAGCTGCATAATTGGGACTGCCACAGCTGGTCTTGAGAAAGTTACCGTCGGTCATAATATTGCTTAGGCCGAAATCGGCGATTTTGACGTTGAGGTTTTCGTCGAGTAGCAAGTTCTCGGGCTTTAAGTCACGGTGAACAATCTTGTGTCGATGACAATATTCGACGGCACAAAGCATCTGCTGAAAGAAACGGCGAGCTTCAGGTTCCTTCATGCGGCCATGTTGAACGATGTAGTCGAAGAGCTCGCCGCCAGCATATTCGAGGACCATGATTATTTCATTGGGTGTCTTGATAACGGTGAATCTAGAAGATTGTTGTCAGTTCAGTTACAGGGACAACGCTGTATTTAACCAACGTTTGGCGCGCAACGTACAGTTTGATGATATGAGGATGGCGTAAGAGTTGTAAGTATTCAATCTCACGCTCAACACGCCCAGCCATATCGCGGCTGATAAGCTTCTTTCTGGCGATGATTTTGAGGGCAACCTGCTGGCCGGTTCCATTGTGAATAGCGAGCTTGACCTTTCCAAAGGAGCCTTCGCCTAGAGTTCGCAGGACCTTGTAGGCGCCGATGCGCTGTTCTGTCTTGATCCTCTCCTTGAGCGGCGCATCGGCGGGGCGGGAACCGGGTGCAGGGGCATCACCAGAAGCGTGCTGCTGCTGCTGCGACTGTTGTTGCTGCTGCTGCTGTTGTTGAGGGCGACGAACGTGGGAGGAGGATAGGGAAATGGTAAGCTCCTCATCCTCGAAACCTCGGGGAGCCATGGCGATGCGATGCCCTGACCCAAGGTCACGGCGGGCCAGGTTGAAAAGTGATCGGTCGGCGGGGTTTTCGGAGCTGCAGAGCTTTTGGTTCGGCTGTCAGGAACTGGGTGCGACGGTGGTACAGGTACCTAGGTATTGCAGGGATAGTGGTATTGACGAAGCGAGCGCGGGGTGGTTTGATGTAGAAGAGAAGAGCGGGTGGAAATGAAGCGGCGAAATGGAGGAGGTAGGTGACGGGTTAGGTTATCTTAATCGCGTATCGTAATGTTGTGTTAAGGTGGTAGGTATTCGTTAGTGGTGTCGATGTTGCAGAGCTCGACTGACAGGCTGGGCTGGGGTAGATTACCTTAAGGTAGTCGTCACTGTTGTGGAGGGGTCAGGTCAGTGGAACCACCTCAGACATGGGCGAGTTAATGACTCTGTTATCATAGAACGCTTTATAATAATAATAATGGTGATTTGGTATGGATAGGATTGGATGTTAATAGTTGTCGTAGGAACTCGTAGCAGAATAGATCTTGATTATGTCACTTGGAGTTTATTATATATCTATTCCTCGCTTTACTCTTTACCAGAGGACTGACGGTAGGTACCTTTCTCCCCATTTGTTACATCCATTCCTGTTGTCTGACCTGTCACCCAGAGAACAGTTGACAAACTATTGGTGTCTTGCTGGTGCGTAGTCGTGTCAATCAGCCCATAGCCATTACATGCCTACCTACCTACCTTATACCTAGGCAAATAGTCTTCACTGTCCTACAGGTTGCCAAGGTCAGAAATGTTAGTACTCGGACAAGCCCTGAATTATATGTATTCGTATCTGTAACAATATCCTAGTTCATATGATATAGTTTATACAAATCAAAACAAGAAACATGAAGCAATAAATAGAAGTAGCTAAAGGCCAAGCTTTGCATACCTTAGCTATTTTTAACCCTGGCAGCCTGGACCAACACCAACTAACACTCACTTTATATTCTCATGGCGTTGAAATTCCCAACAAATCAATTCTCAAAACTCTACCGACCGACATAGACTCACGAGTTGTCGAATAAGAATCTGTTTCTGTAACCAAAAACATCCGATGTTGAACCACAACATCGTGCCTAAGTATTTATTAACCCATTCGAGTTACCAGCCAACAGTCCTCCGTGCAAACTTGTCATGCATTGGGCCGTGTCTGCATATGCAAGCATGGTTCTGGTCTCAAGAGTAGTTATATCTGACAAAACGCCAAATCCCGTACAGTATTGTTACACTCATATCTACCTACAGTCATGATACATAGGTCGTTCTCTTCCAGTTTTCAGAACTCTTGATCGCAATTGGCTCCCTCAGTCAAATTTTTCTTTCTTCAACAAGGCTATGAATATTCTTGTTTCCACTAACTTGTTGAATTTTGCTTGGCTTCTTCTTGCTTTAGTCTCTCTACCAACTTTGTTTGTAAGAATGGGCTGAGTCCCAGGCTTGGAAAATTGTTAGCGACTTGACGTGCCTGTATTCGTGTCTTCTAGACTTACATTCCCTCGTTCGTCAGAATACGGTACGTTCCACTTGGCTGTACCTTGCCGATGATGGTACCATTACCGTCCACTTCAACACTTCCCAGAATATCCTCAGGCCATGCAATGCGTCCAAAGTCGGGGGGATTCCTTCGGTCGCTGAGGTGCACATATCCTCCTCTTCCACCACCACCAGCTCCTCCCTGAGCACTGGCACCTCCTGCACCGTCGCCTCCAGCTCCTCCTCCAGATCCCTGCTTGCGAGATCCGCCTCTATTGGGTCGTTTTTGTGAGAAAAAAGCACCGCCGGAGCCAAGATTGAAGCCTCCCGGACTGGCAAATGCGCGTGCTTGATTCACAAGATCCTCGTCTTGGTGGCCGTACTCGGTTATCACCTCGTTGAGAATCTTAACGAAGTCCTTATTCTCAGTGAAGGACTGAGGAGTGGGAGGGAGCTCGCTAGTAGTTCCAATTGCTAGGCGCTCGTCCGGCGGTTCTTTCTCGAGATAGCTCAAGTAGTTTGTGAAAGGAGTTTTGGGATTCTTCACAACTTTCTACAGCATGGTCAGCGTGTTGTTGAAGTGGTACCGGCTTGGGTGTTGAACACAAACAATTTTAGGGTTGCTAGAAAGACTGGATATGGCTCTAATAGGTACAGCCATATGCCGAGCAGTATATCGAAATGATGACACTATCATTTTGCTGCTATTTTGGAATTCAAATCGATTTTACTAGGTACTGTTTCCGGTGCAGTGAAGCTATCATTGCGTTGACTCGACCTTGATCGTGAATGAGGTCATTCGCAGGACCCTAGGTAGTGAAACGCGACATATGCCTATGGAGGGTATATGTATCAAACGAGTCAATTAAACGCGTCAACGCGGTCGGCGCGAACCCTTCAAGACGACCTGCGCAACGAGGCACAACGTGCTAAGGTAGATAGATACCTAGGCAAATCAACCAGAGCACCATACGGAGATACGAAATTCAATTACCAAGCAACGTTTATTTCATATACAGAAAGTTGGATCCTTTTTCATTTTCTTTCCTTTCTCTGCGATGCCAAGCTAGCGGCACAGATCATGGATAAAACACCAGCTACTATATTCCGAAAACAACGAGGGGCGGTCCCTCCGTCGTCTGCGATACCGTCTTCGTCTCCCGCCTTCGGTACCCCAATCCATCCACTGAAGCCATTCGCCGTCAATGCTCCCAAGGCTGCAATATTGCCGATCATACTCCCTCCTCCGACACTTCGACCGCTCGCTTTCCGTACATTTACGAAAAAACATTCTTTGACCTTGACATCCTCTGCCCTTCAAGAACTAGCTTCCTTCATTGGAAGGCATTGTGGTTCAGGATGGCGTGAAGAAGGTTTGGCCGAACGGGTTCTGGAAGAGGTTGCCAGAAGCTGGAAAAACCGCAATGGGGGCGTCATTGTCGAGGGCTCGAGTAAGGAGCTCCAGGAAATTCTCAAGACCCTTGAGGGTAACATGAGTGGCGGCAGAATCACTGGCCCAGCAAGAGGACTGCCACGTGGGGATAGTATGCTTGATCTCAAAGACAATGAGACCTTGAACACACGGTTAGGACTAAGACCGGCAGAAATCAGGAGAGAGGATAGCAACACAAGCTTTGGCATGTCGGGACTTGGTGTGGACGAGGAGCAAGACGAAAGCGAGACGAGCGATCCTCGAGCATGGCTTAAAGTCATAAACGCATATGACCAGCCCAGGTTCATATACAACGTTGGCAAAAAGCACTTTGAAAAGTCAGTATAGCCGGTCTATTCGGTGGATCAATTGAATTTGCGACTAACATTTCCCAGGGATACTGCAACGCCTTCATTACTACCACCGGCATCACACAAAACGACGGTTTTCCGAAATCGATACAATGTAATTCACCAGCGTCTTCTCCGAAACGAAACCTTCCAGTCCTCCGCAGTCTCCTCCTCTCGAAAACAAAGCCTGAGTCGTTCCCTATCCAACCAGCATTCACTTAAACTCACCCCAATCGCGAACCTCCTTGGTCGCCATGGCAGCAGCCATCTGCTACTAGGGCTCCTGGTTGTCCTTCCTACCGGCGATCTTGCCATCAGCGACCTGACTGGTACTATTGCTTTGGACTTATCCCAGGCGGTAGCTATCCCGGATGATTCAGCATGGTTTTGTCCTGGCATGATCGTGCTGGTTGACGGTGTCTATGAAGAAGAAGACGAATCCGTGGGCAAGGGTCTGAGCGGCAGTAGCGGCGTTGGAGGCACACTGGGTGGCCGTTTCCAAGGCTTCTTTATAGGTCAGCCCCCATGTGAACGTCGTCAAGCGACTCTGGGCATTAGCGGACCTGACGGAGGCCAGGAACAGACCATAGGAGGGGGCTTTGGCTGGATCGATTTCCTGGGTGTAGGCAGCGAGCGTGCCGTGGGTACCAAGATGCGCAGGCTCGAAAGGCGCCTTCTACGCAGCGGAGCAGAGGATGATACTGCACCATCACGTGGGCGCGTCGTTGTTATTGGCGAGCTGAACCTCGATCAACCACGAACTCTCCAAGCATTACGCAAGATTCTCTCAGGATATGCCTCAGAACCTGAGGGTTCAACGCCTCTAACATTCGTGCTGATGGGTAACTTCACTCAGTACGCTGTTTTGGCACGGGGAGGCAGTGGCGGAAGTATCGAATATAAAGAATACTTCGATGCCCTGGCTTCAACCCTGGGAGACTTTCCAACCCTGCTCCAATCGTCCACCTTCGTCTTTGTTCCCGGAGACAATGACGCCTGGGTCTCGTCCTTTACAGCTGGCGCCTCTGTTCCTTTGCCTCGGAAGCAAGTACCAGACATGTTCACGTCGAGAATACGTCGAGCCTTTGCGACAGCCAATGCGGAGGCGGGAGGGAAGTCAAATGGCACTGCCGTATGGACCTCGAACCCGAGCCGAATCAGTTTATTCGGCCCCAACCACGAACTTGTCGTCTTTAGAGATGATGTATCTGCTCGTTTGCGTCGAGCCTCTGTCCGTTTAAAACCCAAGACCAAGGATGCCAGTGGAGAACAGGCCCCAGGTTCAAGTGCTGCCCCTCCCGAAGATGTTCAGCCGATGGATATCGATTCTGCTCATCATGATGATCCTACCGCTACTGCTACCGCCTCACCCGTCACGCCTCTTATTCCTCACGACGTTCATGCCGCCCAGAAACTTGTCAAGACTATTCTTGATCAAGGCTACCTCGCACCATTCCGCCAGTCTATTCGCCCCGTTCACTGGGACTACTCCTCAGCATTGCACCTGTACCCACTGCCCACAGCCATGGTCTTGCTCGACACAACAGCCCCGCCGTTTTGCGTCACATACGAGGGGTGTCATGTAATGAACCCAGGCAGTGTGCTTGTAGCAGGGCGCAAGGGAATCGCTCGATGGGTCGAGTATGATGTCGGTCGCTTGGGTAGGTTAAGGGAATGTACAGTTTAGATTAGACGTCCAGATCTAAATAACATCTAGTTGCTGCTATCGATGACTCATGGCGTCAGGGGATTAAGGGGCATACAGGGTAATGATGGGTGTGATGGACAACCCATACGAACATAGGTAGCTTTCGATAATCACGAAGAGCAGTAATATTTAAACCTCATATCATAAAATGCTAGTTTTTATTTACCTATGCATAAGAATACACAGGGCACTGAAAACGCACCAACTCACCACGCGATGAACATAGAAGTCTGGTATCATGAATAGCTAAGTATGCAAAAGCCCGTTTACCTCCTCTTTAACAAGCCTTCCTCCTCTACTGCAGCAGCAGAGCTTCCTCGTGTAGAACTCCATACAGGGCTTCAATCTCGGTCCTCACTTTGTTTAATTCAGCTGCCACTTGTAGCGTAACGAGTGTGTATGCGTACAGCAAAGCATAATCACTCTCTTGAACAACCAGAGGGGACTCGTTGCCCAAAAGATCCGTACTCATGTGCTCCTTGCGGAATTGGTAGATTTTCCCCAAGAGTCGATCCTTGTTGTTCTCAACCGTAGGGATGGCATCAGTCAAGGGGTATTCTAGCATAAGGCACGAAGCGATAACCTGAAAGACGTGACATATGCGCTGACAAAGGAGAGCTCTCTCAGTGCTTGTGTACTCTAACAATGCCCGCTCGCCTTCTGTTAATTGATTGCGTTTTGATGTGATGAGACGCATCGCATAGAAACCATTAAGCATGTTTTTGGTGGAACGCATAATGCGCCCATATGCTGCGTCTGGGAATGGACCGCGAAGCTCAAATTCAGACTTCGCAGCCGTTCGCAGGCTCGCAAGTTTAAAGGCTGTCATAGAGTTAGCGTGATGAAGAAAGACGTAGCAGTGCGTGCCTACCATATCGTTGAAGAGCCGCCTGTTCGCCCTCGCGCATGTAGTCAAGCGTGTTACTATGTGTGCTATCCTTAGTGAGCGACACAGTAAGAGGGCCACGCTTCCATATGAGACCCATCTGGAGATACAAGACAGAAAGTCCTTCGCGGAACTTCTTTCGACCAGAAATCGGCCAGAGGATTCGGCAAACAACAATACCCCATAGGATGCCTAGAGTGACCGCAACAACTCGATGCCAGGCAATGTCCAAAATCAGTGGGTTAGACCCTCCCTCGTCATCGTCGTCATCGTCAACATCTTGCGAGATGCTGTAGGCGTAAAGGGTGCTCACGTTGTATGCTAACAAAGCGATTCTACCCAGCGGGGCCTTTTTGATGACCAGAATTACGTAGAAGTTGAACAAAGCTACAAGGCCACCCAAAAACACCAGGGTGATGCCATTGCCTTGGCTGACAGTCCAGCACACCACAGCAAAGGCTGCACCGACGAGGGTACCCTTGAATCTGGCAGTTCCAGTCGTATTCGCTGAGCCAGTTGTCATGGCCGCCACGATCATGAAGGAAAGGAGGCCCCATTCGCCTCTCCATGTCTGGTAAATAGGTCTTGTGCTTGGTATGAAAGCAAGCATGGCCCAGAGAAGAGCACCAATGCCAACTTTAATACCAAAAAGTATGTCCTCCCTCACAATGAATCGAGAAATCTTGAGCATTTTCTGAGCGACTCTTCGTTTGACTCTGCTGGATTGTGGGGCAGCATCCCAGTTGAAGGTATCTCGGCGTGCGACCATTGTATCTGGAATACCTTTGGGCATTTGAGATTTCCGCAATCTCGGCACAGGTGGTTTTTGTATCAAGCTCTCACGTTCCGGGTCTTCACCTCTGTCTTTGTCTGATGGTCGAGTCCGGCTGAAGTACCTCCAAAATTTGAGCCAACTCCATGAGCGCGGGGCCGTCTCAGTCGTGTACCTGATGTCCTCTAGTACATCCAAATATGCATCAGTCTCTTCAGCTACAGCTTGTAAACTGAAGGAGAAATGCCCACAGGCTGCAGCAACTTCTTCTATATCCGCTTGGATCTTCTCAGATCTAGCACGTCCGATCTGAATGGTACGGTAAAGCTCCTGCAACGACTCCGACCTTGCATTATTGTAAAGATTCAGAGCATCGCGAAGGCTCTCCCTCAATTGTTCGTTCACCGCGATATCCTTGTTCGGATCCTGTCCAAATGCAGGCTCACGCAGGATTTCTGATAGCGTATGAGCCAGGGACTTGATTGACGGGCCAAGCATATTGATGAAGAGGGCAAAGATGTCAGAAGGCTCCTGGAAAGCGGGGGCTGTGTCAAGAGCGGTATCCGATTTGTTTCTCCCCGCCAGCCGTTCTTCCTCGCTCTCTCCAGATTCATCGATGTCAGACAATGTTTGACCTCCACCATCAATATATGCAGAAATGGCTCGATTCAAGGTGGATGTTATCCCTGTAGGCTTCGGTGAAGGGAAGGTATCCTCCAGGCTGGGGACCTCCCTGAGTAAAGTGAATTGGTTTTCGAGTGCACTTCGCAGTCCTCCTATGGCTTGGGAGAGTGCCTCGACGGATCTTGAAAGACGTTTATCAAGCGGATAAAAGGTTTCTCTTCCCAGGAAGAAGTACTCAAATTTGGCTTCTCGGAGTGTTGAGTTCATCGTTGTGTATGCGCTGTTGTACCGAGCAGAGACTCGGCCATACTCGCTTGTCCAGAATTCATCTTCTGTTCCACTGAGAAATCCTTTTGTGATGGATGATAATTTGTCGCCCAGAGAGCTGGTGGCGGTCATGATGGACCTACGAAGTACACGCCTCGCCGAGATTCTCCAGACTAATACATTGACGGTTAAAGTGCAGGTGATGCCAACAAGAAGCAATTTCAAGACTTGGACGATCTTGTCGTCGTCAAAGTAGCCTCCCTGTACGCCCTCCTCTTTGGTGATTACGGAGATGATTGCGATCGATGCCAAGGTTGAGCCGACGTTAACAAGGGGGCTGTTGAGTCTCTGCTTTACCCAACCCACAAAGCCCAGTCCTCCTCCGATGCAGATAATGAGGATCAACACATGAGCAGCGGCAGTCAAGCCGAGTTGGGATCTCATGGCAATTGCAATTCCCATCGACAACATTGATATGACCTCCGCGTAAAACACAGCAACGACCGCTATAACAGTTGCCTCAAGCATAGAGCCAACGGTTCGTGCTGGGTGAAAGTAAACGGTAATGGTAGCAGAGACATGCTTTCCGTCTCTGTTGCCAAGAAAGGCTGTCAAGGGTGGGAAAAAAGTACCCATACTACCAAGTACATAGGCGAGTGTACACTTGAGAACTCCATGGCCTTCTTCAGTATGTAGCCACAGCCATATCAAGATGAATGCAGTCTTGACGTTATGTGCGACAATGTGGACACGGTCACCAAAGGATTCAGCGGCCTCGAAGGATTGGTATTTCGGTTTCTTGTCGACATCGTCTGCAACTACTGCGTTGGTAGATGTACTTAACGAGAATTCTGACCTCGATCGTTCGCCGGTCCTGGGAATGATGAAGGTTCCGTTCTTCAATTTCTGCCCGAGCATCAGATATCTACCCATTCTCGCCGTCTTGCATGCAGAAAATTATAGAGCGAGTGATTTCGTACCGTTCGCTGGGAAGGCCGCTGTTTAGGCGGCCACGCCAAGTTGGATGAGCCTGTGGCGGAGCTCATGGTTGGTTGCTTTGATGGTACTCGTGTCTGGAGTGGTGAGACGATTGTGAGGCGCGCTTCATTCTCCTAGTCTTAGAGCTCCATAAGAACAGTGGCCCTGATCTCCAAAAGTCAGCTTTTTAAGAGGAATAGGCTGACACGGTGGTGATTCGTGAATGTTTCGCCTCCTGGGTGTATAAGGTAGAAAGGTCAGGGACAGGTGTTGTAGGTGTAAAATCGAATATAATGAAAAGCAATGCAGCTTACGGAGTATTATAGTCTTGAAAATAAGGATGACGCTGAGCATGCATTCACCCCGGGCAGCTAGTGTGGGGCTTCGATCAGCTATCGAGACGACCTCGTATTGGCTGTACCTCAAGGTAGTACCTACAAAACTTAGTAACTTAACTGGCGGGAGTAGTCTAATTCTCAACTAAGGTACCTACAGCCTCGGGAGAAAATGAATGGTAGATGTTCCAAGCTCTTTGTTCAACATTAACAAAGTTTTTATAGTTCTGTACCTACATAGTATGACCACAATCAAGGACAATTTAGAGGTACGCTCTCGTGCTTTCTCTCCACCAAGTTTTCATATGAACAATAACGTGCGAATATTGTCTATTCTATCATTCAAAGGAGTAAGGTAGTCTAGATTTGTCCACGACTTGCTCAACCATGGAAACATTCTTATAGAGATCTCTTAGCCTAAAGCCTAAGGTAGTGGGGCTGTATGCACACTTGCCGGCTGCGCCCGTTGCTTAAACGTGCCCGGGCTGGCGGGACAAGCATGAGATCTTGAGGGGGAACAAGGGCCAAACAATTCCATCCAGCCACCCAAGCCCGTGGCCAAGGTAGGCACTAGATATAGCCGCAAGATCATCAGGAACGCGAAAATGGCTTTAGAGGAGCCTAGACTAGCACGCCGTAGCGGAAACTAAGCAGACAAACCCGCAACATCACTATCGCTTGTGTGTTTCGTGTTTCCTCGTGTAACTCGAAACTCGACCCTTTCGCAATGGCCATAGAGTTGGTCCCAGTCATTGATCCAATGGAATAGGCACGATCCGCATCCGCTCCTCGCACCGAAAACGTTCAACTCGACTAGTTGCAACGTCTCGTCTGTCTCGTCGTAAAACACATCGAACGACAGCCCTTGCTTTAAAAGCAGCTGATCGAGCCCGTCATCCGGATCCAGATCATGTAGGATTGATTTGTGAATCGTTTGGATCCTCTCCCAGATTTGATCCACTACTCTTGTCTGATCTTCGTGCTCTTCGCCGTCGAAGAACCATGGCTTGTGCCAGCAGTATTGACTCACTGCGGAGATGGCTCCGGTCTCAGGTGCACAGTAGACTCGGTATTCCCTTTCGCTCCCCATACGTTTATTGAATGGAAGAAAAGTCAAGTCGACAGTCGGACTCCCCCCTTCAAGACTCTTTGATATTTCATTACGTGCTCGCTGTGATGTGATCAAGCGAAGAATTATGTCCGTTGGGGAGTGAAGAGACAGCCTACCCGGTACGGCTTGGCGACCATCTTTAGGTGAACAACGATTCAAGCGCATAAAGAGACCTTCGGCGGGGAAATCGAGAGACGATAGATGCGGGATGATTTCTTCCTGGATGTCTTCTTGGTATGCTCGGTTGTGTTCACCAGTGATAATCGAGGTGCCCGATGCTGCTACAAGGAGTCTGGCCTTTGCTCGTGTAAGCTTCACAACTTGTGCAACTTTTGCATCGCGGTTTCGTGTTTTGAGAACTAGGGGCAGCCATCGCTCGAAGGAGTAAGGTGCTTCTGACGGACGTGAAAGATGATTCGTGCTCTCATGTGCTGGAATCTCTTCAACGGTATGAAAGCAGGTGTTGAACTTGGTAGATGGTACATTCTGACAGTCTGATTCAACCTCTTCGTAGTTGGTTTGTGTGAGATGCATGTTTTGCGTTGCATTTCCACCCATAGTCGATTGATGTAAAAAGGGAATGATTCTGCAGTGAAGAGTTTATTTATTTTATGTTTGAAGGAAAATAGGTTCACTTGCGAGGTGGATTATTGACTCTGGTGCTACACCCACTATCCAACGGCGGGACGCCACTTCGACAAACCAACTCACAGAACAAAATCTAGCGTGTGAGCAGACTTCACCTCATATCTATAATTGACGGCCAGGTTTCCAACGTCCATTCAAGCAGACCTTATATCAATATTATTATACTTGATTCATTCTTCATCTGAAGCCCATCGTAACGTACATGGATCTTCCTGAGCTCGACTTGCAAGGAGCACCTATCCGCACTCCGGATTGTTGTTTAAGCCTTTCCTACAAATTATTCCGGAACCTAGTCAACGCAATCCCCAACACCACGCTTTCGTTGGACCATGCCAAACGTTCGAGGACCCCTTCTCCAAGGCAAGGTGTTCTTGGCATATGACTGGCTAATAGCTTCTAGGTGAAACGCCAACTGTGCTTTCGATTGGTAGCGGATCCGGGCTACTGGAAGCTCTGTTGCTTGATTATATAAACTCACAACGCCAACGCAGTAGCTTTGGTCATGCTATGGTTAGCATTGAAGGGGTTGAGGTTCAGCAACTTGGTATGAGAGAGCATGTCAACAGCTATCTGCCAGAACAAGCCATACACACTGTTCGTGGTAGCTGGGATGTCACTTCGAGGCTGCAGGATTCAGATGTGACAGCTCTGATGTTCGTCTATCCACGTCAACCTGCGTTAATCTCGCAATATATAAAAGTCATCGCTGAGCAGGACCTAAAAGTCGAAGCCATTGTGTGGCTGGGGCCTATGGCCGACTGGGAGGTTTTTGAGCCTTGTTTCAACACCGGACATGAAAGCTGCCAATTTGTGGTTGTTGGGACGAAACATGGTAGCGAAGCTGGGCTTGACGAGTATGAGTCGATGGCAGTGGCGAGGAAAACAGACTGTAATTCTATGAAGGACGCTTATAAAGCCGGTTAATGAGAGACACTTTAGCTAGCAGAGTTTTTGGGCAAAAGGTGAGGATGATAGCTACTACTCGTCACCATAGGCGGACGGAAGAGAGTGGAAGAGGCGATATACTGGATTATAGGGGGCCCTTTGGTATACTATATCGATATATCCATATCTTGGCTGCGTTAATCATATGCCTGTCTCAGTACCCAACTTAGTGTTGTTAAGCGGTTTGTTGCCCAAATGGTGCAATGGCATCTGATGCTAATGGAGCATTAATTAGATACCCTATACTTGTTCAGATGTGACTGCATCTCTACCTATCAATTGTGCTGCAATAAGGTAGGTAGGTACATGTATCCGAGACCTTTGGTAGGTGTAAGTCTTGGAACAGGTAAGGTAACCTAAGAGACTCTTAGCCCCGAATTCTCTCTGTCCCCACCTCAATAAGAGCGTCATCTCTGAGCCAAAGCACTCATTACCATTGTCAACTACACTGATCTCATTTTTTATCATCCATCGGAGAAAAGCACAAAGAGAGATATTCCAGTACCTCCATATAATTGCATAGAGCTCTCCATATCAACCTTCTTCTACTGTTCTTCAGGCTCAGTTCTATGCTACGCCGTTTGGTCTCGATCATGAATTCACCACATCCGAAACGATTCATACCACTGAAGGAGGGCAAGCATAGCTTTCCTGCCGACACACCCAGACTTCGAGGAGTGGTCTTTGACATGGATGGCACCCTTTGGTAAGATCTGCACCCACAGTCTCACTCTACTCTTATTTCATGGCTCCGAGGTTTCCCGCACATGACCTTGACTCACATATCTTGTACAAACGAATACTCGATGATACTATTTGCTCCGCTATCCGATGTGGTCAAAACAAATAGAAGCTGGTTCATCTTTGCATTTATACTATTCTCAACATGTTAAGAGGAGTTGGCGCAACGAATGCATCGCTAATCCAGTATATAGCGAGCCTCAAACATACATGTTCAAGGAAATGAGAGATGTTTTAGGAATTACAAAAACAACAGACATACTCGAGCACATCGATACTCTCCCCAAATCAGAACAAGGGACTGCCCTTGAGTCTATACGCAATATTGAGCGCGAAGCCATGAAGGCCCAGACCCCTCAACCAGGCCTGATGACTCTGATGGCGTACCTCGACGCCAATGCCATCCCCAAGGCGATATGCACCCGCAACTTCGATGTCCCTGTTCAAAACCTTATGGAGAAGTTTCTCGAAGGCTCTCGCTTTCATCCCATCGTGACACGAGACTTCCGTCCACCCAAACCTGACCCTGCGGGTATCCTGCACATTGCTAAGAATTGGGGCTTACACGGCGAATCTGGCGAGGGTGACGCCAGTGGTCTTATCATGGTGGGCGACTCCATCGACGACATGACCGCAGGCAGAAAGGCTGGCGCGGCTACTGTATTGCTCGTGAATGATGTGAATCGAGCATTGGCTGAACATGCCCACACTGATCTGGTCATTACTACGCTGGATGAGCTCGTTGATATCCTTGAACAAGGCTTCGTGGGGAGAGACGCTGGTCCGGAATAGCAAGAAGTCGACACGAGCCCTTGTCAGTTCACAGATGTTAATCGCAACTTGTCACACCCCTTTCGCCCGATTTCTGATCTCACGGTGCCAACTCAACCACGAATTGATTTAATTTAGGTTTCCTATATCGGCCCGGTTTCTGTACATGATTCTCCTCCACACTAGACACAGCAGATAGACTCTCGGGTATCGAGATCAATAGATCTTTGCCTCCTCAAATCTAAACCAGGTCCTTGGGTTTTGAAGAAGGTATATGAAGCGATTTAAATGTAGTGATCTAGCCAGAGACCACCGCAGGTTTCAAAACAGTGCGCCGAGATATGCTAAATGATCTTCAGGGTTAGGCCGCTGTCCCAATATTTTCGGTAAGGGTGTCCCGGGAGATGCAGCTTCAGGGAACAATCCGAAAACATAGCCTTAAGATACATTGTATCCAGGGTTTGGTGGTAACCCAAACGTTGCCTGTCTGCGGTTCTCCCTGCGTAGCTCATCGGGAGTCTCTTTTCGAGGTGGCGGAGGGGGAAGAGGTCCGCCTGGCGGTGCTGGTCGAACAGGTAAGCTAAAGGTAGCAGCGTTCGCGCTCACAGGACCAGCACTGTCAGGATATCCTGAAACCTTGGGAATAGAATTCGTGGTGACAACTCTGGGTCCAAGTCCGGGGTGAGCCGAAGCTGGTGTGCGTGAGGAAGGGTATCCGTTGCGAGGCGGCGATCGGCTCTGGCCAGAGCCATACTGATCACGAGGAGAGATAATACCAGCGCCGCCGATTGGGATCTCGCCAGAAGTGGGAGTGTGAGACCGTTCTTCGGGTTGGGCTGATGCCTGTGTCTGCTGGGACTGGGTGGGCGAGTCGCTTGAGCGCAGAAGATCCTGGGTTGCAGGAGAGAGCTGAGGCGCTAGGTGGGATTTTCTATTGTCACGCTCCATCATACCGACAGCCCACTCTCTAAGATCAACTGGTGTACGCTTGGCGGCTTGTACAAAGTGGTCACGGTCCTGACAACGTTAGTACAGGTCAAATCAAACAATATTGGAAATCTGTCTTACGAATAGCTCCTGGGGGGTTGGTCGACGTTCAGGCTCCTTGTAAAGACACTTCTGAATCATATCATCAAGAATGCTAGGGAAAGCATCGCTCTTTGGAAGCTTGGGGGCTGGTTCGTGAACAATCTGTTGAAGCAAATCCAGAATACCTGCGGGAGCGCAATCGCCATCTGAGAGTTGCTCACTGGCAGCAAAAGGAAATTTGCCAATAGCAAGTTCCATGATGCTCAGACCAAAACTCCAGACATCTGACTTGACGGTATACTTCTCACCCTGGATTCTTTCGGGTGCCATGTAAGTGGAAGTTCCGACAAAAGTGTCAGCGATAGAATTGACAAGCTCGCCAGAAACACCGAAATCGCAAAGCTTGATCGAACCCCTCGAGTTAACGAGAATATTGGATGGCTTAATATCACGATGCATGATGTGGTGCTTTGTGTAGAGGTATGTCAGACCACCCAGAGTTGCTTCTGCAATTTTACCCAGAACATCGACTCGGACGGGGCCAAAAACTCTCGAGACTCGATCAAGGGAACTGGTCTTGTGTCAGCTATCATGCCGTGATGGGTGCGCCATATCGAACTGACCCCACATCCATATATTCCATACACATTATAACATCGTTATTTGGGGTCAAGAAAGCACCGTAGAATGTCACGATGTAGTCAGAGTGGCAGCCGTGCATAATCTGGAGTTCTCGAACGATTCGCTTCCGTATTTCTCGCTTGGCCTCCACATGAATAACCTGAGGAATATGTTAACAGGAAACCCCTTGATCCCGTGACAGAGAATACAGACCTTGCGAGCCATGACAGTTCCTGTTGTTAGGTGCTTCACTTTGCTGACCGTACCACCGTTACCAGATCCCAACTCCTTGAGAATTTCGAGATCCTCGGGTCTTAGGTCCAGCTTGTATTCAATACCGATCTCCAACTGTTCATCTTTACCTGCATCTTGGCTTCCGCTGTACTCATGATGGTTGGTTTCGGCGGTTGGTGGGGGTCGAGGGGCAGCCGCTTTGAGTGCAAGTCCTTTGACGTTCTTGCGCTTCATAGAGCGTGGAGCAAATGGGTCGGCCATTCTGGATAGTAGAGCGCGAAATTTAGCTCGGTTGATGAAAGAGGCTCGAAGACCGAAAGGCTCGCCGGGTGCTGCAAAAGCCGAAGATTTAATCGGACTGGTCTTATCGTGTAGTTACTGACAAAGGGTGGACGGCTTCCGATGTTTAGAACAGAAGAGTCACCGCACCAGGCCGCAAAGAATATCGATCCGGCCAAGCAGTCGTAAGAGCTGCTCGTGGTATCCAAGCTTGAATAGACGCAGTTCGGGTGAAGCGTCTTGTCCTTGCCTGCCGTCGAGATGAT